GGAACCCCGTTCTGCACCTCTGTGCTGGGTGTCCTATGCTGTGTGACTCGGAGCGACTGTGCCCCGTGTGTTTTGCTTGCTTTCATTGCTTCGGCAGGTAGTGACTGGGCCACCTCCTATTTCTTCCCACGAGAGAAGAGCCTTCTCATCTGCCTCTCCCCACACACCTTCTTCCCCGGGATCTATGGCCTTAACAGATCACCTTTACTCCCTGGCTTCAGTTTTTATGAATCCAGCAGGTACCTCTAGCTGTGTCCTGGCCTTAGGCCAGGTCCTGGCAGGTCAGCATCTTCTAGGGCAGCAGGTGACTGGACAAACAGTTCTGTCCCAGAGCTGAAGCTCAGATGCTGTAGGGTGACTGTGCGGTGCTGTGGAGGCCGCATGGGACAGGTCCCTAGTGCAGTCGGAGGAGGTTTCCTGGAGGAAGTGGTATCTGTGTGGAGGCCTGAAGGACCCAAGAGAAGCTAGTTAGGTCTGTGGAGGGAGCAGCCCCCCGGGGCTAAGAGACGCCAGGTGTGATGCGTCTGTGGCTCGCCAAGCGGGTTGTAGCAGGAGATGAGGTGAGCGAGGCCGGGGATCTCTAGGTGAGGGGAAGCCTTCCTCTGGATCCCTGGCACATGCCTCTTTCCGTGCCCCTCGAAGACTGTCTTGTATGTTAGCGTTACAGATCTTTCTGCAGACATTGCTTCCTTACGTTAACTTCCAGGTGAGGAAACTGAGGCAGCGTGGGGTTAGGTGCTTGGTCTAGACCATGCAGCATTCTCAGCTGGAGAGAGGGGGTGAACCCAGGCCTTTCCAACAGGGATAGTGCTGATACACTCACCCCGTCCTCTTTTCCAAGGGCTCTTTCAAAATCTGTGTTTTGGTCCTTTCCATCTTCTTTATTTATTTTAATCTGCTGTAGATAGGGTATGTGTGCTTGCCAGAGAGAGAGGGCGTGAGGGCAGTGAGAAAGCACCTTCCAAGGGGAAAGGCACTCCGCAACCCCTTCTCCTTCTGGAATTCTGGGTACACACATCACCAG